CTCGGCTCGGCTCTGCTGCCCGCCCGCCATGGCCCGGCGGAGCGTGCTCTCCATCCGCATCGTGGAGGGCAGGAACCTGCCCGCCAAGGACATGTGAGTGCCCCCGGGGGGCCGGGAGGGCTTGGGGGAGACATCCCCAGGAGGGAGCCCCCCTTCCCCAGGAGTGCAGTGCGGTGTCCCCCAGCAGGTCCCTGTGCTTTGGGGACACCCCCAGGGTGGCTTTGGGCTGTCCCCCCTGCTTTGGAGGCTCACCCAGAATGGCTTGGGGTCCCCCCAGGCAGTGCCTGTGCTTTGGAGGTTCCCCCCAGGGTGGCTTTGGGGTCCCCTTGCTTTGGGGGTTCCCCCCAGGATGGCTTTGGGGTGTCCCCCCAGCAGTGTCTCTGCTTTGGGTGTTCTCCCTAGGGTGGCTTTGGGATCCCCTTTGCTTTGGGGGTCCCCCCCAGGGTGGCTTTGGGTGCCCCAGTAGCTCTCTGTGCTTTGGGGGCTCCCTCAGGAGTCCCCCCTGCTTGGGTTCACCCCCTGGGATGCCTTTGAGGTTGCCTCCCAGGAGCACCCCAGTGTTGTGGGGTGCCCCCAGCAGTGCCCCCACTTTGTGGGGTTCCCCCTGTGCTGCTGTGGGGTCAGGGTGCCCCCACCGTGCACCCCCCACCTGCAGCTGGCCCTGGAGCTGGGTCCTTTGCAGGGTCCCCCAGGCATGCAGCGGGACCCCTGGCACAGCCGTCCCCCCAAAAGGAGCAGGGGGAGCCCCGGCACTCTGGCCCCTGTCACCGCTCCGCTCCCAGCCCCGGCTCAAGCCCACCTGGCTGCGGGCCAGGGGGCTCTGAAGTGGCCCCTTGGGTCGGGCTTTCCCTCCTTGGCAGCCCCCCAAGGGCTGCCCACGTGTCCCAGCATTATCCGCATCGCTCTGGTCCTTGTGGGGTGGGATGTGGGGACAGTGTGGGGTGGGACAGGGGGATGGCATCGGGGTGGCCCCCAGCCGCGGAGGCAGCGGGAGGCTGTTGAGGAGCTCTCGGCAGCTGGGCAGGGTCAGGGCTGCCGGAAAACCAGCAAAATCCCTGCAGCCGTCATGGAAAAAGAGGATAAACACAGAAAGAAACATGACTTTTTTTTTTCTTTTTTTAAATCCCATGTGTCAGGGCCTGATTTTTAAATCCTTTGGCATAACTCCCTGCCGGGAGCTCGGACCAGCATGAGGAGGCTCTGGTTTTTAGGAGGCTCTGGTTTTAGGAGAGCGTGTTGCAGAAAGCTGATGTACAATAACACCTTGAGTGGAGCTTTCCGGACCGGTGGCTTTGGGACACGGCTTTGGGCAGGGAGGGCGGCTGTCCCGGCGGGGAAGGAAATCCGCACGCCGGATCTGGCACACTCACCTGCCACCGCCTGACCTTGGCCGCCTCTGGCCGCCGTCCCCCTCCCCTGGGAACGGGGGCTTATGAGATCCGGTTCCTCTGCTCTGCCCTGGCACAGCCTTTGGGATCGCTGCCGCTTTCCCCTGGGGAAATCCTTCTGCGGAGTGTCAGTGCCAGCCCCGGGTGGGTTTGCACGTCAGACCCCGCTTGCAAGCACCCATGGGTGATGGGGCACCCCCAAACCCCCCTGGGGCCCCCCAGTCCCTGCAGGATTCAGCACAGGGAGTCGCAGGAGCAGGATTTGGCTGATGTTGCTGTGCGTTGTCATCCTCCCCGGTGCCACCCTGCTCCAAGCAGCCGTGCCACCGGCAGCCCCCTCCTCTCCCCCGGCAGCAGCAGTGTGATTTCCCCGGGGTTTAGCTCAGGCCGCCGCTGTGCCCGTGGGTCTCCCACCTCCTCCCGCTGCAGAAGGGCCGCTGTTTGGTTTTGCCTTCCAAGCAAGCGCTCGCCCAGCACGGGCTTGGCACCGTGCAGCCACGAGACCATGAAACTGCCCATAAAGAGTCAGGAAACCCGCTCCTGTTTTCACCCTCCGGCACGTCACTGCCTAACGCTGGGGCCAGAATCCGGGCAGGCGGGAAGAGCCCCAGCAGCGCTGGCTCGGCCCTGGGACACAGTGGGAGCGTGAGCCCCCCCCCAGCTGAGCACTGCAAAATCCTCCCCTGCATCTTCATTGCAGGAAAGCAAGGAAAAGGATCTGCTTTATTTTATTTTATTTTATTTTATTTTA